CGTTCAGTCAGAGGCTGGTAGATGATTTGAACTCACTCCCCAGAGGAGACACAAAGAAGCAGCAACGCACAGGGGCATGGTCAAGGAAAGATGTTGCTGATGAGGCCTACCACTCATCAAGTGCACAGACACATCGCAGGATCACAGAGCCCTTTGCCGAGTATAAAACCTTCTACTATGAATTGATAAAAGGAGGCAGTCATGGAAAGATGTTGCTGATAAGTCACTTTGCTTACAGCACTAATGCAAGAAAAGATCCTGCAATTTGAAGAGTTCTGACAAATTGCCCATCACAGCCATATTTGTGTTCCACATAGAAAACACATGCAAGAGAGTGACTGTGGGCTTTTGTGCATAATTACGCTGTTTACCATAGGAGTGTTTAAAAAGTGAAAGGCTGCCAAACATAACCTCAGACAAGGTTTCAACACCATAAATGCTGTGTTAAAAACTTCTCAGACAGTACTGCGCATGACATTTAAAATTTGGGGTAACACTAATTAACAGATGTCTTGAGAAATTGCACTGGAATTACAAAAAACTTCAACTTTAAAAGTGAAATGCTGCCTAACTTCAGATGATATTTTCACATCAGGTTTTAGCACAGACATATACATGCATAGACCATCATTCTTGCGCAGGAAACAATGCAAAATGTACGGGTAAACAATGGGCAAAGCGATGGATGGCAGTGCGTTCATTGCGCATTACGTGCGATGCACTTTATATTGCTTGGGTTGTTTACATGTGCTCTCAAAACATGTTAACTTTTGTACTCTTTGAAACTGGTGTCTCCTCTTTTCAAATGCTGCAACGCATCGTTCAGAATCTGCATGGGCCAGATTAAGTAAATAGAGGATTTCTTTTCACAATTGAAAATCGGCTTCATGGAATGTTGCGGTTGCAATTCTTTGACTGTGTGAAAATTCCCTACACCGAGGGGTGAATTTGTCCATAGTTTTGATTTTAGTCGGGTGCAAAACAAATCACAAAATCTTCCTGTAGTTTTGAATAGGATCTTGTGGTCTATGCATTTACATGTCTGTGAGTTTTAGCACATTTTTATTAATTCCCATTACCTGGTGTCTGTGAGTGTGAGACAGCACCCTGTGTGGTCGATTGCTGTGATGTACTGGGTTGATTCTCTGACATGTCACCTGAAGGTTGACCAGACTGGAGTGATGCACCACCTACAATCAAATCAAACAATACAAGACAGAGACTAAGAATTGGAATTGATCACATTTACATTAAGACTCTGTGACAGACGATGGTTGCACAGTTGCAGACATTTCTGCTTTGATGGTGAACATTTCATGACAACAAAAATAATGCATAAAACTGAAAAAGTTGTTAAAAATCCACACCATTCCGTTATTCAAAGCTCGCTGCAAAACAATGTCAACGTGACACAACCAAGCGCTCCACATGTACATGTACAGCACACTCAAACCCAATGGTTTTTTATATCCAACTGACTTGTCTATATCATCGAGGATGGAGCGAGAGGTTAAATATTGCCAAGCAGCATGTCTAGTCCACAATTAACGAAGCACGCAACAATGTTGTTATCAATCTGCACATTATTATGTGCATCAACGTTACACCGTACAGACTTTGCAGTGTTCCCAGCTACAAATAGCTGGAACAACGAAGAAAAAAACCTGACTTTATATTCCTACATGTATTATTATTGTTGTCATTATGAAATATATAACAGCAGCAAACAGTTCTGGTACTTTTCTTCACACAATGCAAGAACGAGTTAAGGATAATTTTTCTTTTCCTGAACTCGAAAGAAAAATGATAAAAATTGTTCGTACTTTTAGATGTGATTGCCAATCAGCCACAAAAAAGCAACAGAGACACAAAGCACATTATTTCTTTTTTAATATCTACGTAGAAATCTAAAGAAGACTAGATTACGAACACAAATCCTTTTCTTCATTTATTCTGCATCTGGATGACTACTCTATCTCGTCGTGTTTGTTGTCAGAATAAACCAAATGTGATCCGGAATAATATTACAACTTTTACACTTTTACTCCCAAACTGTTTGCATATCCTGGCCGGACCATACATAACCAAGCTCAGAGTGGATTCAAGCAGTTTCTGAGCTGTAGATTTTTCATTCTTCCTTCTTTTCTCAGACTTTGGGGAGCAAATTCACCGAGCCTATCACCTGTGCATGCCACCATTGAAACAAACATGAAGGAGCATAAAA